ACCACTTCTAGTGGATGGCATTCCTTTCACCAAGTTTAGATGGGCACATCTTAAAATTTAAAAAAAAATGGTGAATTATGTAAACAAGGGTAGGAAAATGGGTGAAAGGAGTCATGTGAAGATAGCAAGATGGTGTGCTTGCAGTTGTGACTATATTATTTGTGACGTTTATTTTGTCCTTTTTTTTGTGAAGAAATGTTGAGACAGAGGTGACCATCTGTCTATTCAGAGTCAATAGAGTACAGCTTGTGAAGCCTTGGGACTTTTTTTAAAAAAAAAGGTTGGAACATAGAAGCAACCTGAAATGGGTTGGGTAAGCTCCCCCAGAACCAGATTTTTAATTTTAGTTTTCAGTAGCAATTGCTGGGTTTGGAAGTTGCAGTATGCTCTCTGAGTTTTCTCCAATTTTTTTTGGACTGGAGAATTGCACGAGACACCATCTATTTTACTGAATCTGCCTTTGCCAAGGGTGTGTCTATCGGATGTTACTGTATTGGAACAGTCACTGTTTAGTAGTTAAATAATCTATTATTTGGTTAAGTTTTCCAATAGAGTTGTTATTCCGATTTATTCCTGAAGGGTCAGTCAACCAAAAACATTAACTCTGAATTCTCTCCTTCAGATATTGCTAGACCTACTGAGGTTTTCCAGCAATCTCAGCTTTTGCTTCTTTCTTTTGTAGCATTTTAACTATATATAGTTCATGAATATAAGTATGTTTTGCTTCAAGACTGGTAATTTGATGAATCAAATTGCATCAAGAACACAATACGTGGCACTTGCCTTTAAAATAAGAAAAAGTTAGGGTCCAGGCTATCCTCAGAATGTATTTTGAGGGGATTTGATCGAGTACGTAATAAATTAACACTAGGTCAAGAAGAAATTAAATGGAGGAACTAGAATTGAATAGATGAGAAATAACAATTACTAAAATCAGTCTTAAAGAAAGGATGAATGGAGGGTTAGCTTGCAGGTAGAGAATCAGAATTGAAAGAGATGCCATGGCTTTATTGACCAGGGAAGGTTTATACATGACCAGTGATGAAGTAACAGAAAATTTTTGGTCTTTACAAAGGATATGCAAGTGACAGAAAACACATAGTAAGAATATTTATTCACCTTTATTTAAAAAAGGGTGTATAGTGGCAACAGATGACTAGCTTAAAGTATCAGATTATATACCCCTTTATTTTAGGAAGATACAGCCAGTTAAAAGTTCTAAAAGTTGTAACTGTTGCTTATTTGAAGGAAGCAAAGCAAATTGCTTAAAAAATGCAAAGCTATCTTAAGGTGGAGGCAAGAGAACCAACAAATTGCCAAGTGGTGAAGGCTTGCAAAAAGAGAGACTCCGACAATCCAGATCAAAAAAATTATAGGGTCAGGAAGACATCAACAAATGCAAAGCCACTGCGGGAACATACGTCATCATTGACAGGCCCATTGGAAATGACCAGTGGAAATACACCTTGGAACGAGTATTTCATGAGAAGTTCCAAGAGCCTTTGGCAGATTGTTGAAAGGGAAGCTGCTATCTTCACTGTTGTTTCAAATAAACTGACCTGGCTCCTCCACAAACGATTCTAGAGAGTCATCCTGGAGAAGAGAATATTAAAGATACCTCCAACACTGGCTACTGCTAACTGCATCCAAGAAATTAGCTAAACAATTTTGGCCTCTAAGAAAAAAAGACACTAAATTATATATTCCTTCATTTCCTTTGTATTGGAAACTTACCCTTTAAATTTTGCAAGTTACACTGATGTTGTGTCTTATTTTTCACAAGTTTCACAGGTTTCTCAGGCAATAAATTTGCTTTTTAAACACACAACCTCGTGATCGGCTTCTTTTTGCTTACAGTAAAAGAAAATGACATTTCAATTGTATTTACATCTAGGCCTATTCACTTTAGAGTTTAGAAGAACCAAAGGAGATCTAATTGAGGTAAAGAAGAAAGAAGGGGCACATGGTGGCTCAGTGGTGAGCACTGTTGCCTAACAGCACGAGGGACCCAGGCTCAATTCCAGCCTTGGGTGACTGTTTGTTTGGAGTTTGCACATTCTCTTCGTGTTCTGGGTGCTCCAGTTTCCTCCCACAATCCAAAGATGCACAGGTTAGGAGAATTGGCCAGACTAAATTACTCCGTAGTGTCCAGAGATATGCAAGTTAAATGAATTAGCCAAGGTAAATGTAGGGTTACAGGGATATTTGGGGCAGAGTGGGGGGAAGGGGAGAAGAGGAGTTGGGTCGCTCTTTGGATGGTCGGTGTGAACTCTACAGACCAAATGCCCTCTTTCTGCACTGTAGGGATTCTAATCATTCTGTAAGATACTAGAGGATATCAACAAAGTAGACATAGAAAAGGATAGTTCCTCATGTGCGGCAACCTTGAACAGGAAGTCAGTTTTAGGATAAGTAGTAACAGATTTAAAACAGAAATGAGGAGAAATTACATCTCTTATAGGATTGTGAATCTGTGGAATTCAGGGACATTACCTTCCCTGCTGCTATTGCAACACAGATTTAATATCCAAAGACATGAATGTGGTGAAGTTATTAAAGACTGTTAGAGCATAGATTACAGAGTTAGAGAAGTACAACAGAGAGACTAGACAAGGGAACCCTCTGCAGCACAGTACATAAGCTTCCTATACTCAAGATAAACAAAGTTTTGATGTTACCTGCTTGCATATCAGGAAGCCACCTGACACCATCCCACTTAAAAGGTTGGTTAACATTTTACAGAAGACTGGGAAGCAGCATTCTCTGACAATATCCTGAGTGCAAACTGGTTTGTTAGTGCTATCTCATGGGGATCAGTTTTGACAGTTTAATAAATGAGGGCAGAATATCCTCTATGGTAAATAGTGCCAACTTGTATGCAGTGGTCACATACATTAACCATAATACAATAATCCAGAGAGCTGTACAGTTTCAAAGTACAGTTGAGTACAAAGTGCTAGGGTTAACCAGAATAAACAAGACTGTGAAGTGCAGGTTATGTGCTTACATACCTGAGGTAAAGAAAGAATGAGACGTGTCTATTTTGACCAAATTATTAGTGGTCACAGGCAATTGAGACAATAAATAAAACTGACATTCATAGCTAGTGGTGGCAAGTCAAAGGAAGTAGTACCAGACTTTTTTGAGACCACACTTAGTTTGGTCTTCACACAGTATAGAGGATACAATTATTGGCAGGAATCCAAAGCAGAGTTATGAAGATAATTATTCAATCTAAGATTAATTGTGAAAACACTGCTCATTTTAATCTTGAAAGTTGAACTCAAGAAGGAACTTCATAAGTCTAAGATTTCAAATGGAAAGTTCTTCAGCACAAGATTTGAGGACAGAGAACAGTCTAAGGTTGCCAGAAAGAGAATAGACTTAAACAAATTTTCACTAGAAGAAGTTGATAGATTTGTGGAATAACTCAGCAGGAAAATAGCAAAGAACTGTAAAAAAGGATTAGTGAATTTCAGTTAGGAAATGGGACACTGTACAGGGCTATTAGTTCCAGAATCCAGGAACCAGACAAGATATTTGAAAGGCAAGGTTAAAATGGACCGACAATCTCTCCTGCCAAAACAAAAAATTCAGGTTCAGACATACTATTGGAAACTTGGTATTTAATATTTGATATTTTTGTACTTCAGTAGCTATCATTTTTGTCAGTAATTAAAATGCAATGTTTAAACCAGATGTGGCTGCACTTTATCACCTCTGTAGTCAAACGTAATTTCCAATCTACCACAAATTGAATGTACTGAGTGCATGCACCTTGGTGGACAGGCACATGCCACAAAGCAAATAAAAAAATAGCAGTTTTCTTCTCTTAGTGGCTTACCTGATGTGGCCTTCAGTACAGGTGAGCCCAAAGAACCAAATGTTGGTGAATAATTTTCACCCAAACCACATTAGCTGCTTCTTTCACTTTCCCTTCAGGACTTGTGGTCAAGCTAATTGCGCAAATAAATTAAGTTGCTACATAAGCCACAAAGTTGCACTGACTTTTCACAATCTTCTTTCTACAATCTACAAGTATTTTAAAATTCAAATTGTTGTCATATAATGACAATTTCTTGATTCTTCCGGTGTTCCATGCTTAGTTTGCATATTGCAATTTGGGCCTTAGCCCTTCATACGAGACAACACAGGAACTTTTAATTACAGATTTTAACAAAAGTAATAATGCTGTGGTCTAGAAGGAAGTACTTCTTGTGACCTGGTCAATATTTTGGCATAGATCGGTAATGGAAAAAAAGTTTGAACTCAAAAATACACTATGCATAAATATAAATTCAATTGTTAAGCCAAAGACTTAAAGGATGAATCAAAGGTGGGTGGCTAAAGCAATTTAATGGTTCAATGTTATACAGGATGATTCCAGCCCGACCACCAACCTTTAAGAGATGTAGGGAGAGAGGTGGACAGGCAGGGATGGCAGGCAGAAACATGAAAGAAAGAAAGAGAAGTATCATTCTTGATTGCCTGATTATTCAAATTAAGATGATCATGAATGGTATTTTGTCACCCCTTTAATTTTTCTGTTGGTCACTTGCTTTGCTTTAAAAGATTTGAAAGTTTTAAAAAAATTTAAAAATATCAAAAAAGTGGCTTGAAACTTCTCAAAAAATATTCTCAAAGCCACTTGCTGTATTTGAACTTAGACCACAACACTATATCAGAGGAGTTTCAGAATTTATGCACTCAAAAGCAGAACACTGTAGACGCTGGAGAAACTCCAAGTCTGGCAGCATCTGTAAAGACAAAAACAGAATTAGTATTGAGTCAAACAGCTCTTCTTCAGAAAACCAGAGAACGGACTCTGGATTCAAAACATAATTGTGTTTCTCTCACCACAGACGCCGCCACACCTACTGAGTTTCTCCAACACTTTGTTTCACTTTAAACCCAAGATCAGGGCCAATATTCAAATGTTTCTTCAAAGCTGGATTGTTCTGTCACAGGAAATTTCATCACGATTTTCCAGGCACAGCTTATTTTTGTAAAAGCATTCGAATTTATTTCGGAATAGTTTTATGGTTTTACTACAATGTCACACCTGGCAAGTCACAGTCCAATTACAAGAACTCTACAGGTAGATCGAACAGCTTGAGTAGTTATTAATGTATGGAAAATATTTTTCATAATTCTACTTGACCTTACACAAAAGTGAAGCATTTTAATACAAATAAGTAAATTTACCTAAATCTTGAATCTGTGCTATAACATTCCCATTCTAACATAAACAGTGAAGACATGCGCCCTTTTAGTTGTAGTAGTATTGCTGAACAGAGTCAAGTAGGATTTTAAAATGAAATCACAATAAAAACAAATCACCCCTTTATGCTGTAAACAGCAAATATATCTATAAATTAATGTACATCCCATTTGTACTTTTTATAAAAAGTAACAATTACTGCATGTAGATTTCTTTTAGGATGGGTGGTTTCCGTACATGAATTGAACATTTAAAATAGTATGCAATTTTGAAAATAAGGCATACAAATACACAAAGTTTACCAGTTCCAATACAAGTGCTTGCAAGGGATATAGTTAGCAAACAAACCCAAGTTCACAGTGGATGATAACAGTAATATAGAAAAAGCTGGCAACTGCCCAGGATTTAGCAAAACATGCAGGCCGTAGAAGAATTGTTATAAAAGTTCTATTTTGCCCTCACCCACAAACAATCCGTCATCAAGACCGTGATAGGCACTTGATAATATTGGAAAGAACAAATCAGTCGAACTGGTTAAGTCCTCACAGTGATGCAATATAAAAGGATCTTAGGACAGAAGTAAGGTTTTCATGGTGCCAAGTCCATACACTCGACTTGTAGCTCAGGTGGCACAAAGCTGAGTACTTCTTCATAGGTTAATCCTGAAGATGAAAGAACAATATTTTAGCATGGATTTTAAAGTTTGGGTAAAAATATTGAAAGAAAGTTAGCCACACTACACACAAGATTGGAATAATATTTAAACACAACTTATTGTAAATTCTCAATTTCGATTTGCAAACAAACTCAAAGGATGAAATTTGTGTCACACTATCTTCTACAAATGTCAATTCATGCATATTTCTCTTATCATTGAAGGGTACTTAACATCGTTAGGGAGGCAATGGCCTAGTGGCTATTATTGCTAGACTATTAATCTAGAAACTCAGCTAATGTCCTGGGTTCAAATCCCACCATGGCAGATGGTGGAATTCGAATTCAACAATAGGAAAAAAAATCTGGAATTAAGAATTTGTTAACAACCATGAAGCCCTTGTCGACTGTCAGGAAAAAAACACCCATCTGGTTCACAAATGTCCTTCAGGGAAGGAAATCTACCTTCCTCACCTGATCCGACCTACATGTCAATCCAGACCCATAGCAATGTGGTTGACTCTCGTTTGCCCTCTGAAATTGCCTAGCAAGCCATTCAGTTGTACCAATCGCTACAATGTCTTAAAGAAATAGAACCAGACAGAATGGCATCGATGGCATCAACCTAGGCACCAGAAAAGACAAAGACAACGGCAGAAACAGACCTGTCGACCCTGCGAAGTCCTTCTCACTAACATCTGGAAGCTAGTGCTCAAAATGGGACAGCAGTCTCAGACGAGTCAAGCAACAGCCTGAAACAGTCATACTCACGGAATCATACCTTACATACAATGTCGCAGACACCACCATCATCAGTTATGTCCTGCCTACTGGCAGGACCGATCCAGCAGATGTGGCAGCATAGCTGTGTACAGTCAGGAGAAAATTGCCCTTGGAGTCTGCAACATTAACTACAGACCCTACGGGAAAGGAAACCTACTGCTGATTACCAGATACCATCCTCCCTTGCTGATGAATCGGTAGTCCATGTTGAGCAGCGTTTGGAGGAACCACCGGAGGATGGCAAGGGTACAGAATGGAGGCAGCAGTAATGATCGAGCTGGTTGGATCCTAAAGGACATAGCTGCTAGCCGGAGTCTGCAGCAGTAGTGAGAGAACCAACAAGAGGGGAAAAACATACTAGACCTCATCCTTACCAATCTGCCAGCTGCAGATATCTCTGTCCATGACAATAATTGGTAGAAGTCACCACCACAGTCCTTGTGGAGATGAAGTCCTGCCTTCGCATTCAGGATAACTTCCAGCATGTTGTGTGGCACTAATCACCATGCTAAATAGGCGAGACTTCAAAACAGATCCAGGAACCCGAGACTGGGCATCCATGACGCACTATGGGCCATCAACAGCAGTGGAACTGTACTCCAGCACAATCTTCAACCTCATGGCTCAGCATAACCCCACTCAGCCATTACCATCACACCAGGGTATCAACCTTAGTTCAATGGAGAGAGGAGGAGGGCACACCAGGAGCAGCGCCAGGCATACCAGAAAATTAGGTGTCAACTTGAAGCTACCAAACAGGACTACTTGCGTGCCAAACAGCATGGTGAGAGACAGAGCTAAGCAATCCCATAACCAGCAGTACAGATCAATGCTCTGCAGTCCTGCCACATCCAGTCATAAATGGTGGTGGACAATTAAACAACTCGTTGGAGGAGGAAGCTCCACAAATATTCCCATCCTCAATGGGTCAGTCCAGCACATCAATGCAAAAGGTTGAAGCATATGCAGCAATCTTCAGCCAGAAGTGCCATGTGGATGATGCATCTCTGCCTATGCCAGTGGTCCCCAGCATCACAGATACCAGTCTTCAGCCAATTCAATTCACTCCAAATGATATCAAAAAATGGTTGGAAGCATTGGATACTGCAAAGGCTGTGCCCTGTCAATATTCCAGTAATAGGAATAAAGACTTGTGCTCTAGAACTTGCCATTCCCGTAGCTAAGCTCTTCCAGTACAGTTACATCACTGTCATTTACCCAACGATGTGGAAAATTGCCCAGATATTCCCTACACATAAAAAGCAGGACAAATCCAACCCGGCCAATTACCAGTCCATCAGTCTACTCTCGATCATCAGTAAAGTGATGGAAGTTGTCATCAACACTGCTATCAAGCAGTACCTGCTCAGCAATAAACTTGCTTAGTGATGCCCAGTTTGGGTTCTGCCAGAGCCACTTGGCTCCTGACCTCATTACAGCCTAGTTCAAATTTGGACAAGAGCTGAATTCCAGAGCTGAACAGAGCGTGACAACTCTTGACATCAAGGCTGCATTCGACAGAGTGTGGCATCAAGGAGCCCAAGCAAAACTGGAATCAATGGGTATCATGGGCAAACTAAGTAGGGTGGAGTCATACGTGACACATAGGAAAATGCTTGTGGTTGATGTTGGTCAGTCACCTCAACTCCAGGACTTCTATGCAGGTTTTCCTCAGGGTAGCGTCCTAGGCCTAACCATCTTCAACTGCTTCATCAATGACCTTGCCTTCATCATAAAAGGTCAGAAGTGGGGACGTTCACCAATGATTTCACAATGTTCAGCACCATTTGTGACTCCCCAGATACTGAAGCAGTCCATGTTCAAATGCAACAAGATCTGGACAATAGTCAGGCTTGGGCTGACAAGTGATAAGTAACATTCCTGCCACACAAATGTCAGGCTACAACCATTAACAATAAGACACAATCTAAACACCACCCCTTGATATTCAATGATGTTAACATCACAATCTCTCACTAACGTCTTGAAGGTTACCATTGTGCAGAAACTCAACTGGACTTGCCACAGTGGCTACAAGAGCAGGTCAGAGTCTAGGAACACTGCAGCGAGTAACTCACCTCCTGACTCCGCAAAGCCTGTCCATCATCTACAAGGCACAAGTCAGGAGTGTGGAGGAATACTCCTTATTTGCCTGGATGAGTGCAGCCCTACCAACACTCAAGAAGCTTGGCACCATCCAGAACAAAGCAGCACGCCCGATTGGCACTATGTCTACAAGTTTTCAGTCTTTCTACTATCGACGCTCTGTACACACCACTGTTGCTAACTACAAGATGCACTGCACAAATTCACCAAAGATCCTCAGACAGCACCTTCCAAACTCAACCATTTCCATCCAGAAGGACAAGGGGTGCTGATACATGGGAACAGGACCACCTCCAAGTTCCCTTCCAAGCCACTCACCATCCTGACTTGGAAATATATCACTGTTCGATAACTGTCACTGGGTCAATATTCTGGAATCCCTCCTCAATGGCAAGTGGACTGCAGCAGGTACAAGAAGAAAGCTCACCACCACCTTCTCAAGGGCAACTAGAAACAGGCAATAAATGCTGGCCAGTCAGAGCTGCCCACATCCCACAAAAAAATGAATTAAAAATACTCTACAGACTAACAATAAAGAATTCTTATAGTAATAAAACATTGACTGAAACTCATTACACATAGCATCAAAGCCACCTCCATAAATATCACATTCACATGCAATTATTCTCAAAAAAAATTGATGATTTTCAAAAAAAACTTTTGTATACACAGTTCTATAAAAAAAACATAGTAAATCTCTCTGGTGAATGTAAATTTGTTTTGTTGTAAATATCTCCGTTCTTATAAAGAAGAGGCAAAGGTGCCCATAGTCTTGTGCAATGACAGGACATGTGGTTTTCTGGCAAAAATTATCTGGCTTCAAAGGGGAGACAAAGTTTCTGTATCAGAAGCAGTTTTGAGTGGGTAATTTCTGTCCCAATTGGGATTTTTCGCAAAGTATTTTTGACCTATTTTTATTTGTCAAAGAATAGCCTCACTGTACCTTATGATCAACAAAATGCTCAACTATCATGAAGATTGAGTTAACACAAAGGAATTCAGCAACTTCAATCACTACGTAATCTTGTATGTCCTGCAAGTTGGATAAAATGCTGAGCACTGTAGAGGTGTTTTCTTCCAAAATTGCCAATTAATTCTTAGCAATACATCTATAAAATAACACTTAGGCTGGACAGGCATGAGGACTTAGTTGAATGCACCTAGTTCTAGATTAGATAAACGATGCAGCTTTTGCCTTCACCAATGAATAAGTCTGCATTTAATATTTTATGCTTGTGATATCAATCGTCTAAGTTTGAATGGATCCTTCAAACCCCTTATTGCTGATTTTCCCATCATTCAGCAATAATTCTGCTGTTGGCTTGGATCAGAAAGAAGCTAATTCAACTTGAGCATTTATCCCATAGGAATATACAAACTGCCAAAAATTATTGACACTAGTGAATGGACTTGACCACATGAACATCTCATTATTCGTCTCTCTTTACTCAAAAAGAGTTTTAGGACAAGTAAATGAAACCATGGACATAATCCTACCATATTTTGGCTAAGTGTGAATTGAGTTGAGTTTGGTGGAGTGATTCTTGCCACAAGGAACAGTGGCTTCCCCCACCCCCCCCCAATATATCTTACCAAACACACTGCTTCAACTGCTATTTGAGCCCTCACAGTGAGAACAATGCACTATTCTGCCCATCTTAACACATGCTGTTCAGAGAAGAACTTTCTGCTCAGTAGGGGTCCTCATTAATCCCTTGGGGCTATGTCATCTTTCAAAGCTCACTTCCCAGGACTGCTGCTAGCTGAAAGTCGTTCGGATTGCCATCTCTCCTAACAGAGACAGAGAAGGGGAGGCTGACACCACTCTTCAGAGGGGCCTGAGGACAGGGTCAAGTGAGGAGCCCTCTTCCCAGAGGACCGGCAGAGGACTGGCCACCACACCATGCCAGTCTGATCTGAGACTGTAATCCAGGTCAGTGCCATCTCCAGGGTCAAGAGGCTGAGGATTAGGCAGCAATGCCAAAGAAGGTAAATGACCCTCTCTGCTCTGCCAGTGTAAGTGCAATGCTCTGCACTCGATACCTCACAGTTATTGAAGCACGAAGGCACAATATTCACATGCATTGTCACACTGATTGGGCTGAAGTTGGGACTGGTAAAGGAGGCTGCTCTTAACCTGTGCAGAGCACCTACCTATGGACTTTGCTGCAGACCACTCCCTTAAGACTTTCAGACATGTTTAGCGTGAAAAGAGAGGTCTGTGGTGCAGATACTCAACCGTTATAGCAAACTGACATACAGAACGGATGTGTCGTTGACCGAGGACTGATGCACACATGGCCACCTGCCCAAATGTCCGACTGTGCCAATGCAAGGACACTGCCAGTGCATTCAAGAATGCTAGGATGGTGGCAATGTCTCCCTGAAAGTGGAGTGCCAATATCAGTGACAGAAGGGCGGGTGGGGCTGGTGGATCTTGCCCTGCTCTCCAGTTTGTCCTTGACCATTATGGATCTCCTGCAGCAAGGTGGGGCAGTTGGCGTGGGGAGAGAAGAATCGCAGTAAAAAGGTGATAAACATCTCACCCGATTCTCAGAATCATCTTGCCATAGCCCACACGGTTCAAAGCCTGATAAGATTCCATCCCATAAGTTTCATATTTATTTGGCTGGAAGCAAGACACTCATTTATAGCACTACAGCTCACATTCAGATTTATTTTTAGAAACAAACAAGTACAATTATTGGTTATACATTAGTGGTCTTTAAAAGATCTCTTGTGCTACTTTGAGACACACTTTAAAGCCTATTATTTGGCTATGACCAAAAAAACTAACATTAGAAAATGCACAATGACTTGTTTTTAAAAAAAGAAATTATTAACCTAAAAAATAAATTGCAAGCAATCTGGAATTACAAATAGGAAAAATTAGGCCCTAAATTCACAGTTCAACATTCACCTAGATTTACAACTCATCAAGTTTGGACCAGAAGCTCACTAAAATTTAATTCCCATGACTGCCCCATCTCTCCACTCCCGTAGAATTTTATTTCACACTGATCCATCAACTTGGTAGTACATCATCTGGGAGAAAATATCTTCCAATATGCCATACTTGCACACCTTGTGCTTGGTTGCAGATTTCAAATTTGTAGGTTTTAACACATTTTTATTTACCCTCAAAAGCTTTTCAATAATCAAAATACACTACACTCTAAATGCAGAAAGATGTCAAATCATAAAGCAAGTCTGCAAATTTTATATTTTAAAGTTATAAAATATTGTTTATTTAACTTTCAAGCTTTAGCAACCACAAAGAAAATCGCGTGTGTTTTCGCTTGTTGTATGTTTGCCATCTATTAGAAACTCAATACCATATAGAAAACATTTCCAATCTCACCTGTCTGTAGGGTTTCTGTTTGCAAATACCGCTCGTACACTCTCCACAAGAGGCCATCCTACTTGTCCAAATTGGGACCTCTTAGGTCAGTTGTTGGAGCCAAGGATTAGTGATGTTCATGTGTATTTGGATATATTATTGATCTTAACCAGTAAACTCATCTCAACTAAGCAACGCCATTGACTATTATTTGTCCGGCAAGGGTGAATGTTGTAATACGTTAAGAAGTCTTTGTAACAGACATAAAGAAGTTAACTGAATAAATTACCAAACAGGTAAAGACAGACTTTAAGCAGGGTGGGGAATGGTTTACAACACATGCCTCAAGAGAGTCTTTGGATAGTTTCTCTGAATGTATATTAATACCCCCAGTTTGTGGACATCAAGTACAGGTCCTAAATCACAGAAATCATAGACCTAGGATTTTGCTTTAAATTTTAAAGCACCCAAGTTTATCATGAAGACCGGCTGAGATATTGATTTTCACAATACTTTCAATGCAGTACAATTCTACTGGTACTTTTCTGACTGCTCCTGCAGAGCATCACAATGCACGTGACAAGCTGAACCAGAGTCAGATAGCACCTAGAGTACATTTCTTAAATAGGGGAAGAGAATCTACTCTTCCAAAATTATCAACAGTCTTCACTCAATTTGATAACCTTTAAGATGGATACAGGTGAAAATATGCGGTGTACATTTCACTGAACTGTATAATAAGGTTCATGGATAACAAGGCTGTTTTAAGAGTACAGTGCAGTCAACTGAAGTTGCACAGTAACCTGCTCTCAAAATCACTATAACAGAGTCTTTCCAAGGCTGTTTTATATCACTATTACATGGCTATTTGAGCAGTGAATAATTGCTATCTCAGCCTGATGAGCAATGACTATAGGAAAAGGAATACTGGGAACAGTGCTACATAAAAGTTCTCGAAGCCAAAGCACCATATTTCCAGAAATAATAATTTAAAAACAATTTCACTCACTCTTCCATTCTTCTATTTCAAGATCTCGGCTTTCAAATGACTGATCGTAAGGATCTGCTTCAGGTTCATCATCTGGATCATGATACTGAGAGAAATATGAATGAGCCAAAGCTTCTGCTGCTGTAATCCTCTTATCCGTGTCCAGCACAAGCATTTTCTCCAAAAGGTCAACAGCTACACAGTAAAAGTAACAAAAATGGATAATACAAAACTGATTAGTTTTTTTGTGTAATATTACAACTAAGTGTGTTTCTATTCAATTCAAAGTTTGACATGGTTATATCAGTTGAATTTTTCATGTCAATAAGAACCAGCAGAATGCTGCAAAAAGCAACTGCAAGAAAGAGACATCTCATATTTAAACAATAGCAGCTCTAGTCTACAATGCTTAGACCAGTTGCATCCTAACATTGATGGGACTTTTGAAAGAATGACAACAGTAATTTGATACAAGTTTTGAACAAGTGAATAATTTACTATAAGGAAAAATAAAGTGTTATAAGAATAGCTTAAAACCACAATCTCAACAAATGTACTGATTACAGAAACAGTTCTCTTTCTCCTTTTATAAAATAAATATTCCTTAGTAACCTACTTAGATGACAAATACAGGACAGCCTGTTGTTTCTGCCAAGGACAAGACTCTGAAGCAGTTCCAAATCTAGACATTCCTGAACCTGTTAAGGTTGGATCTTTGTGACCCAGACTTTAATCAACAGTCTAAATTAAGGTTGAACAGGATGCCCTGCTAAGCA